CAGTTGCACTTCGATATTCACGGAGCGCGAGCGTCTGAAAGTAGCAAGCAAAGAAAGTGAGTAAGCGTCAAAGTTTTACTGGTGGCGTGTCGTTGGGAGGTTATTTTTGAACCGCGGACCGACTGATCGGTTCAACTTCTTTTTGTCGTCCATTGTAAATACTGCAGTGTAGTGGCCCTTTTTTAAACTTACAATGGAGCGAGTCAAGCAGATCAAGTCGCGGTGGAACGGGAAATGGACATATACAGTTGGACAACTAATAAAATGGCGGATATCTTTCCCGGGATTGCGATGTTGGGTGCATTGAATCATCTGACTCAAAGGGCGCTCTGTCGGAAAGCCAGGAACAGAGCAGAAGGAGGTATACCAGCTATGTCAGGAAATAATATAAGAATCACGCCAGCACTGGCCAGTCAGCAAGGCTGCTCGTGATATGTTTTAACCTGAGCGTTTGCCGATTTTATTCCGATCCCGACGTGGAAAAACATTCCTTTCTATTCGGGAGAAGTGTTCAGGCCGTGGAACATGAAAATGGTCGCTAAACAACCCTGAGTGGAACGGAAGAATTTTTTCAGTTTGTGTGGGTTTGAAAGTGGCTTCGAATTAGGTAGGCATGGGTGGTCTTTAACAAACAAAGCTGACCTTTTGGAACATGGGCTTGCAGATTTTATAGCACAACTAAGACCTACCGTACTACTGTCGGATCTTTAAGAGCACCGTCATCAAAGCTTTCCATGCCTGTCGGATCTTTAAGAGTACCGTCATCAAAGCTTTCCATGCCTCTTTGGAATGTCCGGGTGAATTTTTATTCAAGATAAATAAATTACGTAGCCGACGAACAACGATTTACAAGATTTTTTTAATCGAAATCGCATTTAGCGTATTGCTCATGTTGACCGAATTGTGATTGTAAAAATTGTTTAGTCAGAGAAGCATAATGTGTTCTGCAAATTTTTTTCTTCCAGCTGTTTTTATTCAGATATTGATACAGGTAAGTTTTTCTGAAAACACCATCAAGATTAGAAGACAAAAAAACAAGCTATGGAACTTAGTATTAGAGAAAGTGGATAAAACCAGACAATTGCAAAGCCTGCTACAAAGAGTGTCATTTTCTGCCAGGGACTTCTGTCGTTCGACGTAGACTAAACACCCAAATCAGCGGATCAAAACGCTCTGCAACGTGAACAGAATCGTGAAACTGGCGGCCACCGTATCTGGCATCGCATAGTTTAAGTAAACTTTGCAGAAGAAGAACACATCCAAGGGCAGCCAGCAAACCGCCACCCCGAGCGTCGTCAGCGTTAGCACCACAAACGGCCGCACTAGGGCCCGTCGCGAACTGTCCGGCAGCGACCGGGATCCCTGCGATCCCTCGGCAGCCACACGCATTGGCGTTAACGGTTTGCGCCTCCGCCAGCGCTTAATAAAAATATATACATAAATCCCTAGAATCAGCATAAGCGGTAAAAATCGGTCCATCATATTCTCCACGCGGAACCAGTCCTGTAGTTGCGGTGACTGTTGGCAATGCCCGGCGTGGATAAACGGTAGATGGACGATAAACGCCGGCAGCGCAAAACAGTGGACGTAACAGATCATTCCCGCGCAAACCAGTAACGAGGTTTTTATGGTGCGGTGATGGCGGTACGCGTGCGGAAACTGCAGCGCCCAGAAACGGTCTGTCGCGATTAACAAGTGCGACATCACCGGAATGACGGAGAATACGCGCTGAAAGTACGTGTGGAGGACACACAGTCCGAGACCGAAGGACCACTGCCCGGCCGCTTGAATCTCGTTAGAAAATTGGATGGGACGCACGCCGAGAAGAAACACCACGTTGGCCAAATACAGTACTAAAAGGTATACTGTAAAATGAGTGATGATGGACGGTTGAAGAATATGCTTAATCAGAATGGCTGCATTGAGGATCAGCGCGGTTACGGCGATGCCGACTTGGGTGCTAAGCAGCGACGTCCACAGTTGATGCTGATGGAGTGTTGTATTGTTTGCAGCCATGATAAATAATTAAAGCGATACAGCGTAGATATGAGAAACTGTCAATGTTAAATCAGTGCGCTGCCTGTTAGCTGCAGTATTCAATAAGATAATAAAACTCGTTCCAGGATTCGCAATCTGATGTGGCTCAGACAAGCTTTTCCAAAAAGTAGTCGCGCCCAGTGGAAAAAATATAAGGCCATTCGCCGACAGGATATATTTGTCACACGGAATCCAAACGCGTTGCCGGGACGTTCGCCAGACAATGACGCAAGCTTATCATCATCGGCATGCTTTCTCACTAATCAGGTTGAGCATAGTTTTCCAAGCTGTGCAAGCCGGTAAGCGGAATAGCTGTGTTATATTATTATTTAATAACTACTTGTGACTCGGCGTGTTCCCAACGTTGCGGAGGACAGCAATTAAAATTAACGTGGCGGCGCGTGACGGCGCACAGTTAGCGGGATGGGCCTCCCACCTTCAAAGGAGAAATCCGTTGCGGTTTACTCAATAGACTCTAGTGCATGTTTAATAGTTTATCGCAGGCTTTGCAGTTTATTATGCAAATGAACTCCATTTTTGTAGACCCAGGAACTTATTACCGCACGAAAAAAAAGGAAATTACAAAGCCAACAGAATACAATATACGACAAACAAGTCTAATAACAAGTACAGTCGTACAGACTATAGCTGCACGTTATCAAATGAAAGCCTACACATTTTCTGATGACCGGAAATGAAGCGCGTCAAGCATAATCGATATGCGGAAGTCAAACTCCCGTGCATGTATCGGAACTTGGTATAATGTAACGGGTCACTTCCCGAGCTAATAAAATAACCAGAAACGACATGATCATTTCCGTCGCGACGTACTATCATGCAATCTTGCTGTTGCGTGCTTCCGTAGTCGGCAATGATGGCAATATGCCGCAGCGCATAGGTTTATTAAATAAAGTCATTGTGCAACCATTCCGCTCCCGCTGCATTGCTTCCATTTTGCACCGATTTGCTTAACCTAATTAGTAGAAGACCCTACGGATGGCATCTTCATGCGCTCATTGAGCTTCCCCGCAAGCGACCCACGCAACTTGTTCCATGTCCAACCTGCCATCGATTTACCCTAATCTTTTACCATTATCCCCCACCATTGATCCGGATAATTCGTTTCCGTTACATTATGAAGTCATGCGTAAATACACACTGTTCGCAGCTTGCATCCTGCCGATTTCATACTCCCAAAAAGTATCAGATTCCTTTTTGCTGTTGCCTCAACAATTTATAATGACTGCAGACAACGTGACCAGTTTTATTCAGTCTGACCAGTGGCCGCCGGTGTTTTACACCCTGGTCGTCATTGACATAACCGCTTTCCTCGGCAACGCAGCCGTCGTAATCAGATACGTTACATCTGTAACCTTCCAAAACGATCGGTTGTCTCAGACGACAGCCGTTCGTTTTCGCCTCTAAACCGTCCGGAACGACCGGAAGCCGCCAAAACGACAGCCGTAAAATTTGCCCACCCAGTTGTTTTCGCGTTTTTGATCGCATCCAAATGGAATAAGCCAAATTCGTAACCGGTCGTTCTTAGACCGGAACGACCGGATACAAAATTGCTCTCCGGCAGGAACGACCGGATACGAATTTACACTCGGGCTGGAACGACCGGCTACGAAATTTAGCTTATTTCATCTGGATGTGATCATAAACGCAAAAAAAAACTGAGTGGGCAAAATTTACGGCGTCGTTTTGGCTGCCCCCGGTTCTTTCGGACATCCTGGGCTTGAGACCCATCCAGCTCTTCAACGCCTTCCACGCAAGCGGGGATTGGTCGTTCGGCGGCCAGATGTGCGTCATCCACACGTACTTACTCTTAGTGTTTTCCGTCACACGGTTGCTGTCCTATTTGCTAATCGCCATGGACAGCTTCTGGTCGCTGCAGTTCCCGTATTTGTATCGCAGTCACCATAATATCAAAAATTCTTACTAATTTGTTCGGGAATGGTTTGTTACGTTCGCTGTTTTGTGCTGCCGGCGTTTATCGTATATCTACCGTCCATAAACGCCGCACACTGCCAACCATCGCCGCGCTCGCGCTGGTACCGCGCGGAGAATGTTGTTGATCGGAATGTGCCGCTGCTGATGATTTCTGTGATTGACTTGTTAATTATCATCAAACGCTGGTGTCAACGCTGGCAACGCAAAACGCCGGCATCGCTACCTGTGGCCCTCGCGGGAATGCGGACACCCCGGCGCGACGGCGGTGATGGCCGTGCGGTCAACCTCCACTCAATTAGGAAATGCCCGTTCGATTCCGGACTGTGTATCATCATGCGCATTGCGCCGCAGCTTTCGAACACATAGCTGCTCATCGCTGAAGCCACCATGCGATCGAAGCATCTTATTATCTTGTGTGCATATGGACTCAAATTCATTCAGTACCATGAACAAATGATGGCAAATGCTGCCACAGATAAAATTGTAGTTCGCGAAATCACAGCTTAGAAATACAGGACTTCCAATACAATAATCATGACTGGAAAATCAGGAGGAGCTCTTTTGTTGTGCTTGAGTGAAGTAGCATTTTCTTTGAAATTAAATAAGTAATCACTGCCGGAACATATTTCAGTAATTGTTGTTCGAATGCGGTGATTATACTTTTCCCGACTCCGGCTACGTCTGTGTGCCTTGCCATTTTGCACGCTTTGGACATGTATTACATTCGATGCGCGGAGAGTGTCAACGCATGTCACATCCGCTTTGAGGAGATACGAAAGGAACGAAGATTTGGAAGTTTTGTACGCAAACTGGTGAAGGGAAAATTCATCATGGACAGCTATTCCGCATTAGAATTCCATCCCACATTATTACGGATCGCTTTTTAATTAAACCGATACGTGCAATATTTTTCTGTTTTACTAATTCAAAATTGAATTTACTTTTTTGAAATTCATTACTACTCGTAGAGAAACGGAACAACATTGCACAAAAATGGACTTGAAGTACAGTAACGAGCATACCGGTATGTGATAATATTATGATGATACACAAATCACCAGACATTATTATTATTATTGAATACTGATCGAGAGATAACTGGGGATCGCAACGTACGAACATGCTTTGCTTACCCAAAAACGCGTAGATAACTTATTATTAGACAGTGTAAAAACTTGTAGAAAAACACGTCGAGTGCTCCTAATCGAAGAAGCTGGGAATATACACTAAAGCCATCGTAAGTGGTAGACAACCCAAGGAAGCCGGTTATAGTAATGCAACTAGCACCCAATCATCCACATTACCGGCTCATCGTTTGTGACGGCGACTGAACACCCAAATTAGCGGATCGAAGACGCTTTGCAGCGTAAACAGTATGACAAAACACTGGGCCACACTATCCGGCATTCGGTAGTTGAAATACACTTTACAGGCGAAATACACATCTAACGGCAGCCAGCACACCGCAACCTCCAACGTCGTCAGCGTCAGCACCACGAACGGACGCACCGACGTTCTCCGCACGGCCAAAACCGTCGTCGAGTGAGGTATCCGCGATCCCGCGGGAGACACATGTACCGATGCCGGCGTCTTGCGTCGGTGCCAGCGCTTGATGATAATAAACAAGTAAATCACTAATATCAACAGCAGCGGTACAATCCGATCGATAACATACTCCACGCGGTACCAGTACCGCGAGCGCGGCGATGGTTGGCAGTGCGCGGCGTTTATGGACGGTAGATATACGATAAACGCCGGCAGCGCAAAACAGTGCACATAACAAACCATGCCCAAACAAATAAGTAAAGATGTCTTGATATTATGGTGACTGCGATACGAATGCGGAAACTGCAGCGCCCAGAAGCGGTCTGTGGCGATTAGCAAATGCGACAACAACGGTGTGACGGAGAACACTAAGAGGAAATACGTGTGGATGATGCACAGTTGGCCGCCGAACGACCAATTCCCGCCATTGTGGATATCGTTGAAGAGCTCCATCGGTTTCACGCCCAGAATAATGACTACGTTGGCCAGGTACAGCACCAGCAGGTACACAGTGAAATGGCTGATAATTGACGGCTGGAGCAGGTGTCTGATTAAGACGGCTGCGTTGAGGAGGAACGCGGTTATGGCAATGACGGTCTGTGTGCAAAATAACGGCGTCCAGCGGTCTGACTGCATAAAATTGGTCGTGTTGTTAGCAGTCATTTTTAAGTTTACAGTTAAGAACGAGAAGAAATCTGATAGTGATTGGGAGTGTCCAATCGGTGGAATGCAGCTTCATACAGAAGGCATTCACCCATCCGTTGATAATGTAGCGGAAACAAATTATCCAGAGTGATGGCGTGTGATGATGGTAAAGCGTAATTTTAAATCGATGTCACATTGGACTTAAGAGTTGGAAGAAGTTGCGTGGGAGTACAATGATCAGGCGCGGAATGCCGTCCGCAGGGTCTCTTACTAATTAGGTTAACCAAATCAGTGGAAAATGGAAGCAGTATAGCGGGAAGCAGAATGACTGCGCAGGAACTATACTTAATAATGTCCATATATGGCGCCATGCTGTCATCGTTGCCGACAACGTAAGTAGAAAACAGCAGGGGATTGCGTGATAGTGCACCGTGACAGGCAACGAGCCCATCGTTTTTGACCGTTTTATTAGGCAAACAACACGGTACATGATACCAAAGTCCGATACGTACACGCACAGGAGCTTGACTTCCGCAGATCGATCAGGCTTGACGCGCTTCTCGCTGTTCATTCATTTGAAAATCTCTAGGTTTTCATTTGATTACTGGCGGCTACTTGCTGTTAGTATCGTTCGCCGTGTATTTTAATAGTATTCGATTTTTTGTTTTCATTTTTTGGTATTGTATAGTAAACTCCGTGGGTCTAGAAAATGGGTTTATGCGCATATCTGCAAAGTGCGTAAAATAAAATATAAATCATGTGGCAAAATCTTTTGAGGGATACTGCAATGGATTTCTCCCTTCAAAGGTGGCAGGTCCATCCCCGTTACTGTGCATCATCGTTTTATTTTTAATATCCCTTCTCCGTGACGTTGGCAACACGCCCAGTCACAGCGAGCTATTAAATACTGATGCAACACAGTCGTTGATTGGTATACCGGCTATCATCGCTTGGCAAGCTATTTGAATACTTCATAATTAGTGAGAGAGCATGCCGATGGCAATAGGCATTTTGTGTCAGTGTCTGGCAATCGTCTCTGAAACGCGATATTCCCTCTGATAAATATAACCTGCCGGCGAATGGCCTTACATTTTCTCCACTGGGCGCGACCACTTTGAGGAATTTGCCTGAGCCTCATTGGATAACGACTTACAGCGTGAGTTTCAATGTTAATGTGAAATGCTTGAGGCCAGCAGACATCGCAATGGATTAATCACTCCACGGTTGCAAATTTTGCGTTGCGTAGATTTAGAACAAGGCCGCCAATAACACAACAGTCCACCAGCATCAGCCGTGGATGCCGCTGCTTAGCACCCAAATCTAAATGGCCATAACCGTTCTGATTCCTAAACGAGCCGTTTGATCAAGTTGTGGCTACAAACGTTTGTAAGAAATCACTAAGAATAGGAAGCCAGTACTGGATATCCCATTTTTAATGACACCACCGGGCTGAAAGCCACCACCGGAGAAATGTAAGCGATTTACGGACACGTCTCAGCAATTCGTTGATTTAAGCAGCAAAAAGAAAAGCCACCGATGACGATGATTCACTTAAAGAAAGTATCAACTATCAACACGGATAAAATTTAAAAGAATCAAAAATAAGACTAGGTTTTTCTTATGGCTAGCCACAAATGTCCTCCTGCAGCGCGGAAACAGACGATAGTGCCTGGTGCAGATGTATCCCGAACTTGGTTCCCATTTCTGCAGAGTAAAATCAAACAACTGGCTTTTTCTACACAGGATTGTTTTTAAAATTTGATATGTTTCCTGCTCTTCGCAGGATCTGTACACAGTCTCATACCTTTGTAGTCGAAAAGGGCTTCTAACTGTTGTTGAATGGTGTCCAACATCTCGTTTAATTCACCCGAATGCGTATTATTCGAAACCTTCCCATTTTTTCGCGTGATTCTTCCACCATTCCGATTTTTCCTTCTCGCATGAGCACTGCCAGCTTTCCCCAGCTTCCCTCCTGCAGTAGGTCCGCCCTGGGGGAACTCAGGGAACATCGCGTCGAAGAACTGAGAAAACGCAGAGAATTCGTCAACTAAATTCTCCTCTTCTTCGTCCACCGTTTTCGGATCCTCTGGAATTTCGTGGGAAGCGTTTTCGCTGCATCTTTCGGCTGTGTGGTTTTTTTCGGTGGATACACGAATTGTTCGCGCCGAGCGATCTTCCCGGAAAAAGATTGCGGCGGTGGAAACGCGAACATGTACGGGAACATCGGCGGGACAGGGAATGGGTAGTGCGGAAACGGATGTCCGGGGAAACTTGCACCGTGTGGAAAAGATGACGTTGGGCGGGAGCACTGTTCTTGATCACCGAATCCCGAATCGGTTTGGTCGCTGGGTTCCTGATGTGGAGGTGCAAATACCGGGCAGGTCTCCTCGTTCTCTGCATTTGATCCGGGTCCGCCATTTCCCCGTTGTGGATGGGGAATGAAAAAGGGATTCTTAGGAGCATAGCTCTTATCTCTACGTCCTTCCTCCGTGTGTGACGGTTCCGAATACGAGGGGAATGCGCCGGGATAACGCTGGTACGCCCCGGGCGGCGGATACGAAAAGATCGGACCTGCGAATTGGGGGTAAGGATAAAAGACCTGACTGGTCGTGAAGCATGAGTGTTTTAGTAGTACAAAGATGGCTAGTACAATGCCCGATCGGTGCGGCATATTACGTTACGTTAGTGGTAGAACTTAGTAATACAGGAAAAATATCGCGCCTCGAAAACTGGTCGGCTGTTTACAGTCTGAGTTAGTCTCTAAATTATCAGCGTTTCCCCCACTTCACAATATTTGCTGCAGTGTGTTTAATTAGTACAGCGATGTACTTATATTCCACAATTTTCAAGATCCATGCATTTGACATTCTTAGCAACTAGTTGTACGAAGATGACCTTTCACACAAACTATTTTGCATTTAGCCGGAAATTGTTCAGAATAAAACACTCCATTATCATTAACCAGTTTCATAATTATTTTATCTTGCACTTTTATTTTGGCACGTTTTGATTTTCTTTCAAATTCCCAGTAAAGCGGAATTTACATTTCGAAAGAAAAAAACAGGCTAATTACCGGCAAATACGATTCAATATCAGCCAAGCACTTAATGCAACTGCCAGCACAGAAAAATTTCCCGAACGTCATACAAAACTGCCAGAAGATGCAATCGAATTATGTACACGCTGCAACATATGCATATAGCAGAGTGGACAGCAATTTTCCCTGCCAAAATGCACGAATGCTACGAAACGGTTCGGTTTCATCTCTGAGTTTTCTCTTCCTCCGGTTTATCACCCGTTCTCGACTTCGGCTCGTTCACCGTGGCGAAATACTGCTGCAACCTAACCACGGTGGCGTTAAACCGCTCCTGCGACAACTGCGTCATCTGGTTCCACAGTTTGCGCTCATCGCGGTTGAGGAATTCAGGTGGCGGGGTGTGCGCCGTCCAGGCCATCTCTTTCGGTGCGCTGGCCATACCCGTCTCTGAGTCCTTGGCCATCAGCGGCGGCTTGACATTGACGCTGTCGCCACACTGCCCGCCCAGCTGGCGCTTACTCTGAATGGTGACCGTCTGCTCGCGGTGGCTGAACAGCGCCACCGGGGATTTTGGCATCGGCGTAGTACGATATCTTCGCGCCGAGCGGGTTTTCTTTACTGATGACTTCCGCAGCGCTTCGCGCGGCGACCGCACCGCGTCCATCTTGATTGTCGCGGTCTTCGACGGCGGATCGTCGCGGCGGGAACACTCGGACGAACTGCAGCTGGAGGTCTCCGGGTCCCTGCCCAGTAAGCGTGACCTTTCGCTGTCTTTCTTCGAGAAGAACGCGGATTTGCTTTTCCGCAAGGATTTCGGGATGAGACTGGCGAATTTGTCCGACAGGCTGTAGAAGGAACCCGCCAGGCTTAAACGGCTCCCGGAGTTTGATTCGGAGTCTTTGCTTTTGTAGTCGGCGGAGAAGAGACTGACGGGATAGAATTCTATGGGCTGCGCGGCCGCCGAAGGGAAGCAGCAGTCTAGGCCGAGTTTGCGGCCGATCGATTTAAAACTGTTGACCGGACTGGGCGCCGGGTCTTCGTTGGACATGGTCTGCTTAAAGGCCACGATGGGGTGGCTTATTGAACAGCGTGGACGACGTTAATTCCGGCTTAACAGCTACACCGATGATTCTCAAAATAAGTTCAACGCCCAGATCCAATGCTGTCACTCCAGGTCAAGCATAATTCGGTAGCAAAACATTTGCGTGAAATGAGCGATCTTCGGGCGCATCACGAACTGATTATATAAGTATTTGAATATGGAATATTGCGATAATAGAAAATAAAATGCAAAACTATTGTTATAATAATTATAAAGATCGATTAAATGGAACAGCTGTCTCCGTCGGAAATCAATTGGCAAGCGGAATTTTCGAACCACGTGGAAACACTTAAACAGAATCGGTCGCTAATTCTAGCTGGAAAACGAATTGGTGGACGCTTCGTTGTAAAAAATCAGGCTGTTATCTTCCTTGGCGGATGAATCAGGTAAAGTACGGTACGAGTACATTATATTTTCATGATGCATAATTTCAAGTGTTGTTGCACTTGGCAACTTGGTGCATCACTCTAGTACATTACTGCAAAACTTTAAAATGTTTTTATAAACGTAAAAATCAATAATAATTTGTGTGATCTTTGCGCTTGAAGTTGTGTGACGCTCTGACTATAAAATCGTTATACAGTAAGATAAATCGGACTACGGTGACCGTTGCTTAAATCGAGTTTTGCTGTTTTCTGGTAATTAGTTTAACAAATCTGCGTTGATTTTGCGATGCAAGCCGAGCTGGTACAGTTTTAGACCCGATTATTGGTTTCGGAATTTTAATTTTATCGTGGAATATTAAATACGCCATGTTTGCTCGGACGAAACTGGTAGATAAGTTCTTCAAGGTAGCCGACACCATCATGCTCCTCATCGACCACCAACAAGGCACTCTCACCTTTTGCCGCAACATCCCCTACAAGATGATCATCCAGAACACGCGCACCCTCGCCCGCTTCGCCAAGGAGCTCAACATCCCGGTGATCCTCACCAGCAGCATGGAGGATCGCGCCCAGGGCCCGTTGATCAACGACCTCAAGTGCTTACTGCCCAAAGAGTACGACGCTCGCATCAAGCGCGCCGGGATCGCCAACGCCTGGGAGGACCCGGTGTTCCGGGGCGCTGTTGAAGGCCTGGCGTGCGGGAAGAAGAACGTCATCATGGCGGGCTTGACGAACGATGTGTGTATTGCGTACCCGGCGGCCAGTATGGTGGAGGACGGGTACAATGTGCTGGTGGTGCAGGATGCCGGGGGTAGTCCCAGTCGCATGGCGGATGAGAATGCACGGCGGCTGTGGGAGAAGGCCGGGGCGCGGACCATCACGGCCAATGCGCTGGCGCTAGAGCTGGGGAGGGACTGGGCGTCGCCCGACGGGTCCAAGGTGATTAAGGTCGTGATGGAGGAGATTGTCAGCAAACTGGATGAAATGGTCGCGCCGAATCCGGTTAAGAAATAAAGCGCACTTTTACGGTTACTGTTGTCTATTAAGAAGGTTTTACTCATACTGCTGTATGTCTTTTCCTTTAGCAAATTTAATTCGCTAACTGTTCTTCAAAGATTTAATCCATATTGCGCTGGTTACGGGTGATATTAGACTGATCATTTTGTTATTTTAAATACGCTTTCTGGCTTCTGGAAGCTTATGCAATCTTTGCGTCAAGAAATCATACATTGTCGTAAATATCATGAGTACAGAATATTTGTTATTCGGCTAATCTTCGTTTTAAAGAATTAAATTTAGTTCTTGGACGTTCTGGCCCTTCTGGGCTCTTAAACCGAGGCGGACGTTGAGCACGGCCGGCGGATGGCTTTATTGATTAACCGAGGCTTATGCATAAGAATTAGGCTAGTGAAAATGGGAGTAATGCCAACGAGACCGGCGGTCATTAACGCGGTACATATGCTTTTTAATTTCGATACCAATAAAAATTCGTATAAACGTATTAAGACGGAATGGGGTCCCGCATGGACTTTCCGGTCTGTAAGGCGGTGACCAGATATTCGGGGTTTTGCCGGGCTGGTAGACGATAGTGGCGTGAACGTACTGTTCGTCGAGGCCGGCACCGATTTTAATCTGTAAAATGCCAGAAAGATGGTACAATTATTTTATAATCGAGTACACTGATTTTAGCTCTGCTCGCTATTACAGCCGAGTGTTAATCGTTAGAAAAGGAGAAAGAAAATAAAGCGCTTACTTTAACGCGGTACAATGCGCCGGCCACAACCTGTACGGTATAGGAAATGGGGACTATCTGGGCGTTAGCCGAGAGTCCCAGCTTATCCGCTAGTTGGCTGCGGACCTACGAGAAGGCTGTAACTGTATGAAGACGGTCTGTCGACTCAAAAATGCGTTCATGTTATTGAATTCAGCTCCAGATTAGTTCTTACTGCATTGACGGCCGCGCGGACACTATCATCGGCCGGTCGCTCCTGACTCACTCCGCCTGCCACAGCCCCGGCGCCACCACCTGCCGAAGGTCCACCCGCCGGAAGTCCACCCGCCGGAGGTCCAGCCGCCGAACCCCGGAGACCCGATGGCCGAAAACCTCCCATTCCTGGAGGCATGCCGCCTCCCATTCCTGGAGGCATACCACCTCCCATTCCTGGAGGCATGCCACCTCCCATTCCTGGAGGCATGCCACCTCCCATTCCTGGAGGCATGCCACCTCCCATTCCTGGAGGCATTCCGCCCATGCCGGGAGGCATTCCTTGTCCAGGAGGTCGTCCTCCCATTCCCGGAGGCATCCCGCCCATTCCCGGTGGCATACCGCCACCGCCTGGTCCGCCACCCAATCCTGGAGGCATACCACCTCCCATTCCCGGAGGCATACCACCTCCCATTCCTGGAGGCATACCACCTCCCATTCCTGGAGGCATCCCTTGTCCGGGAGGTCTTCCGCCCATTCCTGGAGGCATACCACCACCGGACGGAGGCCCACCACCCATCCAGGGAGGCGTACCAAAGTTATTCATCCACACTCCGGGGCTGGGTACTCCAGGGGGACCTCCAAAGCTGCCGGCGTTCGACGGCGGCCCCATTGGCGGAATTTGCATGGGTCTCCCACCGCCCATACCCGGCGGCATCGGGAACAGCATGTTGAAGATCCCTCCACCGCCACCGGTTTGCGGCTGCTGCGGCGGACCCATTTGAGGCCAATTTACTGGGATGGCTCCTAATTGGTACGGCAATTCGCGTGCGCCACTGCTACCTTGGTCGCCGTGCGCATGGACGCTGGCGACAATAACTAGCAGGATCCAGGCGCGAACCCTGTCAAAGACCAAAGGTCAGAGGTGACCTTCCAGTATCGGACTACCGTGCAGGTTACTTACAGTGGTTTTCGAGTTGGGTGTACCATTTACGGAATATGACTGTGTATTCGGAAGATATTACAGCTTCTGTATGTTGTCTACTTCAGGATCAAAACTGATCCGGATATAATAATATTAGAATTTAGTAACACATTATGACTATTACGGACCAGTATAATATGCAGCTTGTAATAATATCTTCGTCGCCGCTGTTAAGTTAATGCAAGAACTAATAATTATGCGCTTTAATCGAACAAAATTTCATCATCAGTTTTGCTTCGGTAACGTTGCTATAGAAACTTCGAGAAAGTGAAAACCACTGTCGTATCGCTGTATTGAAATATATAGTAAAAATTGGTAATTTAAGTATAGTACTGTACTTATTTGTTTTTTATGATAATATTTTTGTTTTGATTTTCCTTTTTTTTGGCAACAACAGCAGCAACAACAACAATAATTTTGTCAACACATATTTGTTAAACAGGAATTACCTAGGATAAATTTCACCACACATTACGTGCTCAGCTTCAATAAGAAACTAGTGAGCAGTTTAAAAAAGGACTGACAAGAAAAAATCCTTCGCCGATAACAACGCGGCGCACAAATTGAAAAGCTGTCAACGACACCGCACAATCGCACAGTCAAAGGTCAGCGTGATTTACAATCATCATGCTTTAAGAAATATCCAGTTTTTGCATGACCTTTTGCAGACATTTATAAATCTCCGCCAGTTGATCCGTGGATTTCTCCTTTTCGATCTGCGCGAAGACGGCTTGAATAAGGCGCTGTTGCAGTTCCGAATAGCGGACGGTTTCGCGGCGTTGGTGGATCGCTTCTTTCAGGTTGATCTCGTCGCGTTTCAGAATTTTCTTGAGGAGGAATTTAATCTGGCTTAAACTGGGAATGAGGTTGAACGGCGGAGGCAGTACATGGCCGCTGTCGAAATAGCTAATCCAGATCTGCGCACGGGCGAATTTCCACTCCATGTCGCTGTTTTCGTCCACGCGATTAAAAGCGTTCGACTACAAAAGCATAATGAACTTAACTTATTTACATATAAAGTGGTGAACAAACTGCTCAACAAACGAATTAAAAATGATATAAAATTTAAAAAAGTAATATAGCCTACAGTATTCTAATATACGTGATTATTTTACAGCTTAAATTTTTATCTGCAATAGAAAAAAATTGTAGTTAATTTCTATCTTCACATTTTCTTATTCCTTCGTATTATCTCGAATTTTCCACGAGCGTTCACAAAATTAATAAATGCAGTTGACCTTTATAAATTGTCTTAATTAATCGTTAGTCTAATTTTCTTAACAGTTCCGTTAAATGCAATTAGTAATTTTTTGCTTTAAATCGTATTACATATTTACAGTATTTGAATTATAGTAATTATATCTGAATGTCGTTAATATTTATTTTTATCAGCATTGTTTCAAATTGAAAAAATATGGTTGCGCGGCTTACCATGACGGCGATGAGCGTGTTCAGCAGCATCAAAATGGCGACGACGTGGTACAATCCGAAAATAATGTATCCGCAGAGCTGCGTAAACGAGTGCTCTTGATAAGCGTAATCCTTCCACACGGTGCCGTTATCAAACCGGTTGCCGATTATCACATCGGCGGCTTCGCCCGGAGCGCGACCGAACAGCGTCCAGAACAGCGTTTTGCCGGTGAGGGGAAAGGTCATGAAGGCGTCGCTCTGGGTGAGATTGCTGCCGTCGCTATTGGCGCGTACCTGTGTGCGCGCAAATCAAAAGGTCACTTCATGCAGGAAGCAAAAGGCTTAAATCGAACATTTACCTGTCCTTCGTACGCTTCATACAGGTGATTCAATCCAGTGGCGAAAGACAGCATCACGCAACAGTATACGACGAAAAATCGCGCCATCTGGAAGGACATCTTGCCGATAGATATCAGCAGTGGTCCGAGTTTTCGGTCGATCTAATAAAGCATAATTAGGCCGATCAAAATTCCGTCTAATAAATCATGAATTATTAAAATCGGTATTTCCTTTTCGTTCTAACGTCACTAAAATTATATTTTTTAAATTCGATTTCAGCAATTTATTTTTGTTTAAATATTCAGAATATTTAAAGTCCGACCAAAGCGACAAAAAATGAGTAACTGTTCTGCAGTTTATATTTACAAAAATAAGTTGTTTTTCGAAGTAATACAATTTAATTCGCTTTTCAGAATTTTTGATAAATTAATTTATTGGTCATAAAAACAATTTAGACTAATTCATGTTTCGATGTACCCGAAATATCTGAAGGAGCCGACCAAACGCCAGAATCGTGGCGAACCCAAACAACCCCTCCGCAATTAACACCGGTTCATTCCACTGCCACTGCATCCGCGACAGCTTCGGCCCGCTCCCCGCCCGCAGGAACGCCCAGTACCAGATCGAAAACGTCGTAAAAAACAGCATCAGATTCAGCGCTTCATACCAGTTCCACCACACCGCCAGGAACGTCTTGGACCCCTGATTCTGCCAGGTCTTGGAGAACTCCCAACAGCTCCCCACAATATACAGCACGATAATCACTTCCAACCCGGACCGCGGCGGACCACGGTACGTCGGGTCCCGGTCGTGATTGGTCTCGATGAAGAGCAGCAACAGGAAGGCTAGATAGAACAGCGTACTAATGACGTAGCGGTGGATGGGCGGCCGCATGAAGCGTTGCACGAACTCCAGGGAATGTGGACTGACTAAGTGTAAAACGGTAATGAGCGTGAATAATCCCAGTTTGGAAAGGATGCGAAAGAGCTTGGCGAGACTGGACATTCCGCGCCAATCCTGCCAGTCATCCAGCCACGCGGCGCGGAGAACCTGCTGGCAATTTTCATGGGCGATAAATTCTTTCTGACGGCATTGGATCGCTAGATAAATCCGTGGGTACACGCAACCGGCCGGTGCGCCCGTGTGCGGCTGCTTCAGGATCAGCTCCACCTCGTCGGTGGTGCTGCACTGCTCCAGGATGGCCTGCGCGAAATTCCGCAGCTTCTCTTCAAGTTCGGTGTACTTTTGCCTGTAAAAATCTGGTGTGAGAAAAAAACCGGTGAAACACAGCGCCACCTATTTACAAGAGCTCGGGTTCTTTGGACGCACAGCTAACCAGTTCTCCACACAGTTTGAAGCAGCTTTTGAGGACGTCACGGCTGCTGAGTGTGATGTACGCCGGACTGCACAGAGCGCGGTAGGCGTTGTAGCGGCGCTTGCTGTACTCCAGTAAGGTCATGATGCTGCCTTTGCTGCCGCTGCATTCCAGGCGGCCGCACATGCAGTCTGGCGGATGTGGGCGGAGTAGTTTGTGGCCGCGGTCCACCAGCAGCTTTACCATGTTGAAGTCGTCTGCGCGACCAATCAAAAACAAATATCAATAAAAAAATTCTGATAGAAAATAATAAAAATATGATAAATAAGTATCATAGTATTAGTATTCAAAAGATAAATAAACTGTTTGTATCTGTATTTTTTCTTTATTTGTTTATTTATTGATATTTCTTATCATGGTATAAAGAATAGTAACTTGCACGGTAAGCTGATCCAACGTACACAAATCTATAAATTCAGCATACTTCCACAGAATTTTGTTTACGGCGTGTTTGCGTACCCAAATGTGCGGCAAGCATCAGCGGTGTCATATCAGGCGTATAATCCGGACTGTCGGGGATCGGCTTAAATTCAAGCTGCTCATCGCGTTCTCTGCGCAAGCAAAAAAATGGTTGCAGAAATTTCGTACACACAATAAAATTATAAATGAATAATTGCTCCGCTCGCTTAGGTAATTCTGCATACACCTTATTTCCAAGCGCTCACCGGAGGCCTTCCAAAAGCAGCGTGACGACTTCCGTGTTGCCCATCTCGATGGCATGTAGCAGACTGTCGCCCACATACAGATGCGGTATGCTAATGAGAAACCCGATCATCTGAAAGTTCTCATTGCGCGTCGCACGCCGCAGTGCACCTACACCATGGATGTCGCGGCAGTTCACGTTCGTGTTTGGATGGGTCTACAAAATGCACGCTTTGATTGGTTATGATCATTTTATTCATTGTGAACATATTTATTTTTTTAATCGATTCTCATTATTTTTATTTTCTATTTATTTTGTATAGGTTTTGTACATGATTGGTCCTAATAATTTAAATAAATTGAATAAATAACGCATAAAAGCACTGACTAAATAAAGCATAAAATATATACTCGGTATATAAAATACTTTTTTTTAATTTTTAAATAAAAGAAATAAAATATATATAATAATTCTGTTAATCTTCACAGTATTGTCTTAACTTGCTTTAGGTAAATGTAGATTGGATTTGGACGCAATTCTGGCCTACGATTTTTTAAAAAAAAGGTCACACAGATTACCCTGAGAAATCTGTCGACTGCCGACACGTGCCCTTCCTCCACGAGAACCAGAAAGTTGCGCTCATCCAGCGCCAGATTGGCCAGCGTCACGCTGACAGATGATAAGGAGCGATGCGCCGTTAGCTCCAGGAACGGTGACGGCGTCTGACTGGTGCGTCCCGATTGCGGGCTGTAGATGTCGCGAGCAGCCGCCTTCGGCATGCCTAACGATGGGGGCGTGGACTGTAAATCCAGGGGGGAAATATCGTTATCGGCGCGGAACCTCTCCGCAATGCGACGTTCCATTGGACAAATATTAACACTGTCGAAGGATACAAGTTATCATATCAGAACCGAGAAAATACTGCACTTTTGGAAATGCTGGCATTGAATTATCATGTAATTTCTCAGTTGTGTAATTTTATAAAAAAAAGTTTTATGAAATGAACTTCTCTTTAGAACATGTTTTATAATGCCATTAATTTACGATTCACACAAGTTTCTAACAAAAATTTATACGATTTAGGATTCACACAAGTTTCTAACAAAAATTTGCAAAAGCCAATGGAATGACTGAAAGTAGCAGATTCTTCGCCGCTGAATATGCTATCGGCATGAACACAGTGGAGAACTTTATCAACTGCCGTAGATGCATTTTGCAGGGATCGGTGCATAACGCTGCGGCTGTACATCTGCGTTCCAGTGTGGGTTCGAGCCGTCACCAAGCGATCGTGTTTTCGAACACAATTTAGTCGGTGTCTCGGTGAGTTCGCAATAGCAGTCGACCCCAAAGAGAAAGCATTAGACCACGACAAGCTCATTTACAGTAAGCATAAGTATCGGGTAATTGCGGGTGCACTGTCAATATTACAGATGTAATACTGTAAATAAAATGGATGCAGATTTTCGGTTGTTTTGTTGTAAATCGACAGTCTGCTATGGATGTGCTCCTGGCAGAGGTAAACTTTGCGGTAGCGCTAAAGTTGTTGCATTGCTGCTTATCAAAAACCGGACAACTGATACCAACAGTCACTATAAACTGGACATTTTTTTGGGATGGTTTACAATTTCAAATATTTAAATGCTAAATTCCATCAGGAACTTAATAAAAAAAGCAGTAAGTTTAAATGGAAATTTGGTTTAGTGAATGCACAGACAAAATTACAGTTTTCATACTATGAAAATCGCAACCAAAGTTTCTACCGGTAAACCGCCCTCGACTGTTGCGGCCAACAGTTCACGAATGTAGAACTTTTAGTACCGCAAGACGGAACAGCTTTTGTAGACACTAAAAAAATCCGTCGAAGGAGATCTTCGGGCAAAATCCTTCAAAAATGCTCTCCAGTGAATCTTTCGCCGGCTGGCCAATATAGGAATTTGTTTGAACCTGTCTGACAGCATTTCCCTTGCGTCTGCTTCACTGACTTTATTTACAACCCACGGATCACAGGCTTCCCTAACTGTCGTTCGCTCTAGTTTTTATGTCACAAAGCACGGATATAACTGAAAATCACAACCAATCTTCATTACAGCCAAAAAAGTTCATGTAACGCTGCCGCCCTTTCCATGGTTCCAAGTACGGAAGCGGCGCTGCCCCTCTGGATTTCCAAAGACCAAATGGTACCAAATACACGAGCATGCAAGAAAAACCAAGCGCCCTTTTACCGTATTATCGTTTCCGTTATGTTTACAAAACTCAAAAGGAGAAGAGAGCGGTCTATGCCTGCCTAGGCTGTCCTTACATTACAATAGGGGGTTTTGTCTCATAACAAAACTCCGTAGAGGTATGACATACATAAAATATTACGCATACTGATACGGGCATTCAGTCAAGCAGAATAACGATGAAGACTATTCACAATAACGCTACATCAAGCAGATCAAATACGGCTAGCTCGAGCCTCGGACCAAGCAAGCGCCAGATTCCTGCTTCCGTCAGCTCAGGGTAGAGAGGTAAGTACAAGGTAGTAAGCACGAATCCAGAGAGGCGCTAGCCTCTGCTCTTGCTGACATCCCTGTCCCCTTTCTTCTAAGAGCGATTTGGGGCTGTGCACAATGCACACTGCAGGCCTTTTAGTCCACGTCGTTGCTGAGTATCAAGAACATTGGAACAATATTATTGTGCTTCTTAATCGATCGCCTGGTTAGATTGTCAGAGGCGCCACTGGCCGTGCCAGTCTGCCACCGGCATACAGATCCAAAATTCTACTGACCGCTCCCACAAGCCTTACTGCATGCAACAGGAAGGATTGGAGTCAAATGAAAGTGCATAATATTACTGATTTCCTGGCAGCTATATGGTGAACAGCTATTTGCAAGTGCACCTAATTCCGGATATTTCATACTAAGTAATGGCAGGCGAAATCAAGATCTTCAATGACCTGTTGTATTTCTCTCAAGAGTATGATAAGTTCGTAGTGGAAAGTGTGGGAGATGGTTTATGCATAAGAGGTTTTATCGTTGATGTGGCGGATGATGGTTTGATTGTTGACTTCCACTATAGCGGAACGCACTCAGTGAGGAATGTACCGTTTAGCGAAATTCGCATTCTGCCGGGACAACCAAACAATTATCTGTACGACCTTAAACATGCAGCTGAAAACGACGCCGTGGAAGTACTGACTCGCGGGAACAGGTAAATAGCATAATTAAACTGAATTAATGCATTAAATTCTTGAAATTATGTAGAATATGCTTACATTATTTTCAGCAACGTTACACATGCACATTATTAAGAATCGTTAAAAACGTTCGGTTGAGAATTTCCAGCGTTGAATTGCACAGTCTTGAAGTTATTTTTTTTTCAGGGATGAGCCAATGATTTGGCGGACAGCGCAATTTATAGCAGTTGTTCCTAAGTACGACAATAAACCGCGATTCTATCCCGGGGAAAAAACTGCGCTGGTCATCACACCGTGGCATCAAGACACAACGCGATGGCTAGCTATTAGGAACAACATTCCGCCTATGTACGAAGTGCAAGTAAACGGCATGATTACCATAGATTCAAACAAAAATGATCTGCGTCTTACTAGATGTTAACTTGCATGACTGATAATAAAAATGCGCACTTGGAAAATTGCTTAAATATCAATATTTACGCAACGCACAATCATTTGCAACAAATGCAGACTGTCACACACATTTGCTTATTAGAAGCCCCTCCCCCGTAATTGCATTAGCATTTGCAATTGCAGCTGATTCCATAGATTTTATTGTGCATTTCGATCATGCAGTAATGCAAAATAAACTTATGAAACTTGTTAAAGTAGTGGTATGTTAATATAGCTCGAACCTGTTCGGCAATCTGCCTTGGTGTGCATCAGAGATCCGCGTGCGTCATGCTCGTTCTAACTGGCAGTACGGAGCGGTCTCGAAGAACACGTTCCACAAGGTCACCATCCCGTTGAAATCATGCTGGCCGTGGTGCCAGTTTCCCCAAACCTCGCTCGCCGATGCGCTAAGCCAACTGGATGTGGGTTTCAAGTTATTTTGGTTACAAACGACCGGTGTACTAATCACGGCCGCCAATGGCAAATGCATTACGGCCGTTTGCCGAGGAAAGCCAAACGCCAAGATGTATCGCAAATTTCATAATTTATCACCAACTTAATAATCAGATAATTATATCACCAACCTTATCAGATAATTTATCACCAACCGGAAATATATCTGGATTCATGGTACTGCCAGCACGTAGGCCGGTATCGGAAAATACTTGCAAAAATAGGTAAGGATGTCGTTTCTTTCTATCGGTCTGCGTTTTTAAGCGATGACCAATCGAAAAAAAGAAATTTGTGTCAGCTTTTATAACAGTTGTCAGTAGGTGTGAGCGGCGCTTATTAGAAGCGCTCAGATTAATTTCATTGCTCGTATCGAACTAGGTGGTTACGAAACGGTGCGTAGTATTATTATACTTGCCTAGGATCTGAAAACGTGGAACGCTCCTGGTTCACGAGAACTCTTGGCAGACTGGCAACCTTCCCATCTTGGCAAAAGAACCAATTCCATAACGCCGCGCGTGAGTCGGCATGGTTTGTGTTCCCTTTAGTAAAACTTCTTGGCTAAGGCTATTCTGCCGCAGTAGGAACAATATGCGGCAATATAGTTCGTTGGCTATTTCGCCGCACACTGCGGCTCAGTAGCCTTAGGCTATTTGGCCGCAGTGCCAGCGGCAAGTTAGCTGGTTAACTAATTTGCCCCACACAGAAGCCTCAGGCTATACCTAAGAAACCTAACAATAACCTAAGAATAAAATCTAAGAATAACCTAAGAACAACCTAAAAAGAATAACCTAAGAAACTAAGGATATCTTAAGAAAACCTAAGAATGACCTAAGAAAACCTAAGAAACCAATGAAACCCAGGAACCTAAGAAACCGAAGAAACCTAAGAAATCCATTGTAGTGTACCTAGCAACGTATGGTTCGGTCAGTTGCATTACTTGAGTTACGCGGTCAGTTATGATCTAGCATGATTCAATAAAACTAGAAATTCCACATATATCACATCCGTCTAACATGCTGTGGTAAAATAGCTGACCAGCTGAAAAGCCGCACAGTGCGGCAAAATAGCCAACTAGCTAACTAGCCGCAAATACCGCGGCAAAATAGCAAAATGCTATTTTGCCGCAAAAACTGCGGCAAAATAGCCACTCCGAAACTTCTTGGTACATAGGTACAAGTTTTCCTGAAAAAATCACGTGCGCATATACAGTAATAAAATAAAAGGATTTTCTATAACGACTCTTCGTTATAGAACTTCGTGTAATCTCTAAAACTAAATCAGTACAAAGATTAGGAAATGTACGGCTAGGTATGTACTCTTTCCCTAGAGCTACATACAATGCATTCTACTTTCAGCTACATCGAAGGGCGCCATGGATCTTCCGGCTGTCGTACTGGCGACAATATTTGCCCATGTGGATGCAGTGACGCAAAAATCACTACATCGGTAATATGCACATGCAACTGCACAATAAAACACTGTGTTTACATTCAAAAATGCACGGAAAATGTGTCAACTGCGGCGAAGGGAAATCAGTACAGTACAGTAGTACCAAACTTGTACCTGCATTCAGACGTACTCTCATTGCCTTGGCTATGATTGCTCATGTGCACGGCCGGTCAGAAATATAGATACACAAATTCATCACAACGCTCTCCCACATAGTGCTAAATATTTGGAACTGTAATTAATACTGTGATTATTCTTGCTTAATAAAATTCAATATTCATCAGGCATTGCCAAAGCATATGATAAACGTCACCGTTTTCCAGCGTCTGTCGTTCATGGTACCACATTTTATTGGGAAAGCAGTATAGCCGGAGCGCCATTCTATCTTGCCCTCGTTCCCCGCACGTGCTAGGAGATGAGAGGTCGCTGTACTTGGCCGGTGCACTCGTTTCCTGCACTAACTCCACTACCGATACATTATTGTTGGATCAGTTCTTCCACACGCAGAATAACACGGCGTTGTTGACGGCCCGTCATGTGTCGCTGCCACTCCGCTATTTCCTGTCCTACTGCAAAGCGGACATTTCCCTGTGGTGGGAACTGGAATGGTATCCGCCAGTCACCAACATGCACCTTTTTTGCCACTTGCAGATGATGGACTCCAGCTGCCGACTGTTAGGTAAATAAACGTAAATTACCCAATTTGATTTTCAACCAGCTGGGAGCAGTTTTGCGACATACTGTAACTTATATGGTACTAACACAGCTGGAAACAGTTACACCTAGTTTAACATCGGTGTGACTTTTTAAGGAGAATGCTCCGGTACATGGTGTCAAAAATGGGATACATGCACCAAAACTTTCGCTTTCGTGCACTCCAAAACACTTTTTTGTGACGCTTTATGTCATTCTAAAGCTAAAATTTACTGGATTGTGTATTGGATTGTGTAGGTACTGGATTGTGCAGGTACATTGTTCCGAAAACCGATTGCGCGCGCAACATCCGGTTGCCGAGATATGGGGTACTGAAATGGGCGAAAAGTTTAAACGCATTGTTGTGTACCAAAAGTCTGGCCATTACCCGATCTTCTTGAAAATTTGTTGTAAAAGACACATGGTCACAAAGTCAAAAGTTCAAAAGCCACAAAGTCGCTTTTAGAACAATGTGTACAAATCATTTAGCCTTAGAATGACATAAATTATTACAAAAGAATGCTTCCGAGTGCTCGAAAGCGATAGTTTTAGCGTATGTATTCCGTTTTTGACGCTATGTACCGGGTTCTTCCCCTTAAGATCATTAGAGCACATTTTACGCATATAGAAAAATTATAGTAGTAGTATACTTAACTTAATCCTAGCAGTATAGGTCAATCACAGTGTGCGACTTTGTTTTTACAACCTAAATGTGCATTCCTTGTTCGGTACCCCAGAAATACTTTGTATTAATGGCCAAATCAAGCGAAGCCAAAGAAATAATGATGCTCTCCGGGTGCGCTGACCAGTGGACATATTGCCTCACAAGAGAAACCGTTGCCGACGCAGTAACTGCCATGCGGAGTTTGCTCGATGCTTGTAACCGCCTCTGTCATGCGCAGCGTGAGCAAATCACAGGGACTAACAGTGGAACGCGAATGGAGGGAGTGTCCAGACAAAACCTACAGTGTGCATTAAGACAACTGCAAACAAATTCCCGTGGACCCAGAGGCGACAACCCTTTTGGCTAGGATCTTTGAGATGTTTGAACCGACGCTTGTCCATGGCGGACCAATTTGCATCCCTACAAAAGGTTTCTCTCCTTCTATAATGAAAGTTCTTATTCGTCAACCCATAGCTGCCCCAATGAACGGAGATTTGTCTGTCGACTGTTGGCTGCGATTTACTTAATATTGGTACCTGCACAAATTTGGTTGGTCAGTTAGTGGCTCAGTGACCTTTTAGTATTCTACCGTTTACCGTTTTAGTATTCTACCGTTTAGTATTCTACCGTATTCTACCGTTTTACCTTTTAGTATTCTACCGTTTTAGTTTTTTTCTTCCTATGGCACGGGTTTTGGCCATCTTCAGTTGTAACAACGTAACAGACTGTTCATATATAGACATATTCAAAACCATACCCTCGCAGCATTTTCGTTGAAAATAACGTAAAGAACGTTACGTTACATGTGTCGCTGCGATAATGAAACTCGTTCGCGCAGCGTTTTGTTTTAACTTTAAGGGTAAGCGTGGCGAGCTTGTTTAATGGCGTGGCCAATGTTAGTCTATCACTGCACTGGCACTCGAGATTCGAAAACAATATTGCCACATTATTCACTTTTAACTGCAATAGTCAATACCGAATGAAATAACGCTCTGAGTTTTCATTCGTCGGACTGACTTTTCATTCGTACATTAGATTGATGCCCTTCGTTGCATCTGCAGCGACAGTTTTCAACTACTTATATTATTATGTAGATAGTGCCGGTAAAATGTCAAGTACAGAATGTCTGTACGTACCGTCACCGCTGAAGTATACAGTACCAACTCCGTACCAAAGCAGGTATTTGTTTAACGTGATATTCGTCCATTTTTTACATGGCCAATTACGTATAGATTATCGACCGAAGCGTAGCGAATATCCTCTGTGTTCAGCGCTACTACAAAATGCGATGTTTGAGAGGCCTTTTGGCTCCATTCAGGCTGAGAAACCAGCTGTCTTTTTTACCCACACTGTCAATTGTCCATTTTTGTTGTGTTCTTAGTCGTGCTTTTATCGCGTATACGACTTCTTCCGATACTTAGCCCAAACTGTACAACGTTGCAAAAACCATACTTACTAGTTTGTTGAGTAAGTAATAGCGGTGCACTTATTTTCTACTTATTTTTGCATTTCCCTATTTACTGGAAGCTCGATAGTTAGTACTGCTTGATTTCCGGTTCACAGCGAAGTGAGCGAACACGCATAATTTTTGATACGCGCTGTGTTCGTTTCCACCAGCTTTTAGTGCCCATAGCCCCGTCACCAAGGTATCGCATTTCGAACAGCGTTTATACAGCAAAAATTTATGGTTTCCCCTACCAACGCCCAGATGCTTCGTAAAGCAATTTCTAACACGGCCTTTTCATCCTACTAATTCTTATAATAATAACTTCAAGCACCAAGAAAAGCCGTAATTGTACGACCGCTGCTTTCAAAAACCACAAAATGCCGCTGCAGTTGACATCGGAGTTTCTGAAGAGCTTACATTTGGACCGCGGTGAACTGTGGCTGAATGCACGGCAGACACATATCCTGCACGCGCTGTATGATTTTCTAGATGTGCATCGCGATGGCAAATGGAACGACGTCATCTTCTACGAGGCAAGGTACCTACTACCAGAATTCTTAATTCACGACCTACAGGAAGACTTTATATAATGAAATGTTGCTTAAACATAAAGTTGTAAACTTTGACTTTTTGAGGATTTGAATTATGCGTAAACACTCAGTAAATAAACACGTACAAACTGTACTCCAGTTAAACTGTTTTAATTTTAAACGCTGTATACAGAGGGTGAGCCACCCACATTGGCACACTTTTGGTAGGAAATTATTTGTGACTTCTGGACTCAAGTCCTGTCAAATCCGCTGATGCAATTTTTTCCCTTAGCGCTCTGTGAACGGAAAGAAACTAATTTTCCATGAAGATTTCGCGCACACGTGACATAAAGTGACCACAAGTGTCCGCGACCGGCGAAAAAAACGCACACAAAACGTTTCACTTCGTATTTTTGTTCTGAAATGATAATTAGTGAAGCAAGCATTTTCTTGGTCACATTCAGTTTCTAATTTTAGAAGATTTTAAGGGCTATATGAAAAAGTACAATGTTGTCTGAAAACCTTATTCAGAATCCCGAGGAAAAAAAACATAAGTTTTAAAAAACTGGGGATTTACACTTTCAATGATGCGGCTGGCTTTTGCAGTGGGAACCTCGTGGCAAAAAACCGCCGATACCGATTTCGCTTTAATGTAAACAAATATTTATTTAGACAGGCTTGTAGAAGATATTCTGTGAAATTCAGGACGAATGGACAACTTGTTAGAGAATGGCAGATGTCTTCTGGACTTCCGGTCAGTTTTGGGAGCCGACGTCCAGAAAAACTCAGCCGTGGCTCCAGGTTTTTCTTCCTGGATTTTGAAAGGAATCCTTTACTAAACTCAGATAAATTTATCAAGTATAAAATACCCCAGGCTGTCGGGTAATGTTTTTGAAAAAGTTGTTGTAGACGACAGGAAATTTTAAAAATTCAGTTTGTGCAGTGTGCCAATGTGGGTGGCTCACCCTCTGTACATACACACTGCTAAATTTTGAATCGCGCATTTGCTGGAACAATAAGCTAAAAATATGCGAGATAATTATAAACAAAATAAAAATTCCTTCGGTAAATAACTAAAGAACCCTTTTTTGCTGCGTCTCGTTTAGTTCATGACGCATGCGACGAACCTGAGCGATCGGCGCATCCAACGCGTCTTCGATATGCTGGATAAAGGTTGTCGTGGGTTTATTGTCTTTGAGGAGTTTTATGTGCTTATCTGCCTAATGGTGGCCGCGTACAACAAATTGGAGAAGAAATTCATCCTGCGCCACGCCAAAATGTGCTTTACACTGATGGATGAGGATTTCTCCGGGTCCATTTCCGCCAAGGAATTTACGGACGTTGGCTTTTTGTGGAATTTGGAAGGTGGGTATTTATTCTGTTAGTCTTTAATGAAATTGCTTCTACTTTCTCTGGAAATATTGCAGAACAGCAGATATTGAAGATTTTCAAAGAGTACGATGTGAACGGTGACGCGGAAATTGACTGGGAGGAATTCCGCTTTTTCGCCATGGCGGCGTTGTCGGACTAGTTTGATAGGGACAGCACTGATTTAAATTTTTTGGGGCGTCTTTTTCTATGTTAATAATTACCCCAGTTATGTTTCGTTCGGTCGGTTAGGTAGAAACCGCGCTTGTTATCATCGCCTTTAACAGTTTAACGTATAAAGCAGTTTATATAGTATCCTAAATTAAAAAGCCAAGTGTAAGTTCTATAGAAAAAAATATTGATCATAAATAATTTCAGTTAAAGTCTGTTAAGGAAATCACACATTCATTTGAGCTGGTAGATCCCGATAATACAGTATAGAATTGGCTAGGTAAATCAAGAATCAACACGAAGGAGGTGTTTTTGTTTCGATTTCTTGTCATAGCGCAACTGTATCTGTACAGCACCGTATTCATCGGATTGGCGGGAATGTTTATTGTTTTTACAAATTTATTCGCGCATATAAAACAGTTAGACAAATACGTATAGCAACTTTGCGAGTAATTAAACAAAAAATAGAGGTTCAGGAAGACGTGATTTCTTCTCGCAGAATCGCGATGACGGCGCTCTATCAACAAAAAGGGCGTTTGAACAACAATGATATGGTGACTTTACTGCCAAAAAACAACACCAGAACAGCACTGTTGCGTATCACGCAAGCATGAAGTTCGGTAAAACGCTCGTTGGCCACGTAATTGGCTCCCTGAATTCAGTTCATCCCTTGCGTCCTGCCGTCATCCCGATTCTAACAGAAAATATGAACGGTATAATAACATTGTATGGAAAATCTTTATACGACCATGGATACGCGAAGCATGTTACCTGCGAGAAGAAATCCCTTTTCCCGAGCTCAGTCCATGTAGCGATGGTTGCAGTAGCGATTCAACTGCGCCGCGCCAGGAAACTTTCCTAGCAACCAGAACAACAAACGATCAAAATAGATTATGGAATGTATAATAATTATACGAAAAAAATAAATAAGTATAGCAGCAGAGTGGAATTACTGGTGAGATAATTAATCAGTAAAAGTAAGCGGTAAAACAGGTAACACAAAAAAATAATAAAAATTTAGTGGTTCGATAAACTCGTAAGCAAGTAAGCTACTGAACTAAATTATCATAGAAGATTTTAAATAAGTTGCGGTTTACCATGATAAACTGCTCCGCTGAAATTTTCCCCGTGATGAACCGATCGGGATTGGCGTAATAGTCCGGAAAGGTCACGGCTGCTACTTTAAGATAACGTAAGCATGTAAGTCATAAGAGTTTAACCGAGCGCAAAATTGGCTGTCGCAGCCCGGGAGCTGCTGAAAAGCAGACTAAATTTTTATACTGTAACAGTTTCGCCATGCGCATTCCCAGTTCGCTGTTGCTATGCCGCTGTTAACCGTTACGAAAATGTCGAAAAAATCGTGCTTCGCGAGAAAAAAAGGGAGCACTGTGTTGTTATGCTTATTAGCCATACAAGTACTGAGTACCGAGTACGTACTAGCGCTCCCTAAAATGCATTGAAATTATCATTGCACACGTGACCCCGTTTTTTATATGGTGATACAAGTATCACTTCAACTTCACGGTTCACAGTAATCAACATTAGCGCCTAAGCAAATATTATTACAACGTAGCATTCCAAGTTTGTTTACCTTCAGTTATTATGTTTATTTCAGGTTGTTATGTTTATTTCAGCATTGTACTACAGAAGAGTTATGATTAACATAAACTATACTTTAGAAATCTGGAAGGGAATTTTATTTCCTGACATTGTGTCCCGTTGAAACATGAAGCAGGCACTACGCGGCACACGAACTCTGCACGAGCACCTGGAGGATCATAAATTCAATCCGCATGACTGTATAATTTGCTCTACCATTCTCCAAGTTCCGTTACATTTCACAACGGCGAAAATCTTCGTAGATATCGGCACGCTGCTGGGTCGCGGCGATATTCGGCACCGCCTGCAGGACAGCCGTCACGAGGCGGAGCATGTCAAATCCATCGCCGTGCAGGGACTCAAAGAGAGCGCGTTCAGCTACCACGCTCAGATCGTCAAAGCGGTCAAAGAGCTGAAAAGTACGAATTCTCTGTCGAGCGGATCAGTTGTGCATTTGTTTTGTGCTCGTTTATTTAGCAACAGTTCTCTTTATTTGTCAGCAGCGATGCAGAACAGTTTAGAGGAACTGCGTGGATTACTGGTGGAAGAACAGGGCGTACTGAGCCGCGCCATGGAAGAGCCGAAAGCGTTGACAGACGATAACAAGCAAAGTAACAATCTAACCGCACAGCTTTTTAACGTTTTCGGTTAATTTAATCGTCGTGTGTTCGCAGAGCTGACGGAGACAAAACGCTCTCGCTTCATCACGCGCAAAAGTCTTTCTGGGCTCTTTAACAAAATCGATGGATTCGGTGCTGTATGTCTGCGCCTTGACACCACCAGGCTTTACGCTAAATGTATCTGGTTGTTGTCAGACAGGTTTAAAGGATCGCGAACGGATGCTTATCGGCAGCAAGGATGTCCGCGAAGTGGACATGCACACGCTGGAGAAGCGGCATAATATGATTGCGCATCTGTTTACGGACTGCATCATCCTGACATTATGGACGCCGCATCAGTATGTTTGTGACGAATGCTACCGTTTCGTAAGCTTGATCGCATTTAAACTGTCATTTTTTTTGAAACCTTACATTTGCTGTGCATTTAAGTTTTTCGGAAAACTGAGCACGACTCTAAAGGTATGGTATAGCTAGCGTTTATGCTTGAAGTATAGCTTATGGCTCTAAATGTACCGAAACAGAAACTTAAACAAATTATGTACACTGATTGTTCCTCGTTAAAAATTTCGCAATGTAAAAATGCGGTTAAATATCTTGAGTGTTTTCTGTAGTGAAAAGCACGTGTACATCCAGTACACCTTCGTCGACGTGATTTATTTCGACTTCATCTCCGCAGTGGAGCCGTACAGCGCTCCTGCCGTCAAGAAACCGCATCGGTTCTTCGATTTTGGACATTCCAACCATAAAGAGCGCACCAGTCACCGCGTTCACTTCCCGTTCATGGTGACCTTTCATAATGACCCAACAGCGCGGCTATTCGACGTAGACAGCGCTCATGAACGGGTAGGATCCAACAGACACATTTAATCCTTTTTATTACTTCATTAGAAAACGTATTGATTATATTTTATTAAAAATCCAAACTGTTGCGTTCTTCAGCGCCACTGTTTTGCTAAAAACTGCCTCGATTGCAGGACGAATGGATAGCGTATCTGAAAGAATACGCTAGTCTTCTGCAAAACGACAAACCAAGGAATCGCCGTCTGTCAACCAACTTATCAGGTACACGCTATAAAACTTTAAAGTGTGGGCGGGAAATTAACGGTTGCATCGCGTAGTTCAGTGGTGCATGATTCCCTGGAGGACATCCTCGACCGGCACCGTTCGTCCCTACAGAATATGCTGCCCGGTGAGCACGGTCTGGCGCAGTGGTACCGCGACGCACCGGTGGACATTAACGACTACTGCGACACCAAGGAGTACGCACAGGCCATCGATTTAGTGCGGGAAGCGCAAGCGTACTGGCACAAGGAGATCAGCTGGGATGAGCGGAAGGAGGGACGCTATTATCACCGTGAATACGCTACAGAGTTTTGGACAGTTACACAGTAAATAGTATAAATGGTTATGGAAATGTTTGTAGGGAAATGTCTGGATGCGGAAGAGCGGCTGGTGGAGCATTTGTTGGAGAATTTCCGATTTGCGTTAAACTGTCCGTTGGGTGTTGATTGGGTGACGTGCGGGGAGATTGTCGGGCATTTGCGGGAACTGGGTCTTCTTTTTCAGGTACTTGATAATAAAGTGTGAAACTTTTCAGTAACGTTTATTAGCAATAGGATTATGGATTCCCCCTCTTGCCAAACATCACTATTTTTTCAGCAATATTTTGCTTAAAATTAAACCGACGACCTTTATTCGTTATGCTTAAACAGGACAAAGTTTTTTTATTAATAATAATTGTGTTTCACAGTTAATCAAGTAAAACACTTTAAGAAATCAGGGCAGTCAATCATTACTATGTATTTTAAAATAAGCAAGGCAAATAGAATAATTTTGTTTTAAATAATAAATTCTTCGAATAGTTAATCACACAGTCGGTTTACTTAAAAAAATTGAATGACACAGCAAATTAACTGGCAGGTTTTAACGTCCTGAATACGGTTTGTTTTAAATATTTTTTAAGTTTTTGTACGTTTGTCAGGCCGTGTTGGTGTACCTTGATTTCCGGACCTGGTTGTTGAATCAAGCACTAGAGGTGGAATTACGCGACGGGACTCCTGATTTGTACGTACAAAAAAAGACCGTCGTAGTCCTACGACAATTTGAAATCGCCTCGACAGAGCTGAAGGAGCTGGAACTGGACAGAAGTCGACAGCATCGAACCGGTAAATCATTCCAGACTTTAAAGTAATGATAAACATTTCTAGTAATCGCAGAATGCTTCGCTGCAGCATTTGTGGCATGGATACGATACCACTGGATCCGTTTCTGCACCGATATTCAGCAGTTCGTCTTCTGCCACCGTCTCAGCTTTGGTGATGTCCAGCGGAATGTGCAATTTTTACGTCAGTCCGCCAAAGATCTGGTAATTTTTTTAATACTGCTTTGAAAGCGAAAACAAAATTATATTATAAAGTAATGTATAAACACTCATAATATATCATAAATAAAATAATGTATAATATATAAAAATAATATATAAAAAACAATATTATAAGAAAATCAATATCCTTTTTAATCAGGGCAGCAAAATAGGATTCGACATCTCCCTGCAGTTGGAAGGTTGTTTGGCCGAGTCGGTAGCGCGTTGGCTGGAAAGCTGGATTGAACGTATGGGAACGCATTTTAAGGAAGAAACAAAGGTATAATGGAATCGTAACTTCAACCGATAAAATTTTAAAATGAAAAACGAATTTAATTAGCTTGGTAATTCAATAAACTACACTGAAACCAAAATAAATTTAGTTATATGAATTTGACAAACTGAATAACTCAATTTACATTGTAAGTGTAAGTTGATTCTCAGGGAAAATGTTGGTCAGTGGTGACCTTCGAAACGGACGCCGACCAGCATGTCTTCATCGAGCAATGCAAACGCCAAGGTCTCGGTGACCTTTCGGAATTTGTTGGTAAATCAGCCGAATACGATAATCGCTGTGAAAGACGTGATAACGTAGACCCATTTCCAGACGATCATCAGCTGCACATTATTGCCGAAGTTCTGCATTATGCGAAAGAGTATTTGCAACTCTTTGACGCTATCTTCGCCATCTGCCATCACGGAATGCGGCGGCTGGCCAAGAAATGTTTAGCGTTGGCACTAAGTCCGCTTTTGGAGAATCTGCGAACTTTGTTGTCGGGTGAACTACCGGCCGAGTGCAACGTGAGTTGTTGCTGATAAAGTGTGTGTGTGTTCGTACTAGATTGTGCGGATAAAACGTGTTCTAACGTAGATGACGCTGATTCAAGGCAGCGTGCGATACCTCAATAATATTTTCATCCCCAATGTGGAAGCGGTGTTTCATTCGAAGTATGTGGGCTGCAGTTACTTGTTGTTTGTGGAAAAAGAAGCGCTGGAAGATCTGTTGCGAAAGGTCAACGAGAGCCTGGCCACACAATTCTACAAACGAAGCCATATTGCTCTGTAATGGGCTTTGTGATATTATATCACATAATTCTTTCTCCCCACTGTATTGCAAAGTCGACTAAATGTTGTGGCTGTCTGTTAGAATATCTGCTAAAGCCAAATGATCTTGTGGTGATTAATTGTATATTTTTCACAAAGTGAAAACACTTCGCTGAATATAACCCTCTGGTAAACTGCAACCGAACAATTTCCAAATAATCTAACTTAAACGAACGGTTATGGTTGGACAACAGGGCAAATGAGGCGTCCCTCCTTCTTACTGACTCGAGAGGATGGCTAAAACGTTTTTAGTGCGCGTCTGCCTGTTTATTACACCTGCGCAAACGGTTTTCCTGCCAATGCAGCATGTATAAAATATTTTTCTGCAAAATAAAAACGAGGCAAAAAAGTGTTTCGGAGCAAGGGTAAGTTGCAGAAAGTGCATCATATTTCAGCACCTTGTTTCCCAATATTTCTCTTAACAACACAGGCAACACTGGTAGTACAACAGTAAATCAATGCCAGAAACTTTTAGACATTCCCAGCGTGTATGTCTGCTAACGCGGTTCATCTTTTCATGGACGCTTGTAGCATTAATTCTGCTAGACAAAAATAAACTGCCGTAGGGAATAACTAGAAACAAACTCGAAGCCGATAAAGAAACTGGCGCGACCGTTACCCATTAAGCACGCTGCGGGCGCAGGTCGGACCATTGGGTCACGTCAGTCGTGGTCAGGAAGGTCTTGTTCAGAAGATCCGCAGCTGTTGGTCGTAATACAGGATCACGCTGCAGGCAGTCCGTAATAAACATCCGCAACTCATTCGGCACTTCGTGCGGTATTCTCGGCGAACCGCCTGTGCCGACATAGTACAAGATGGTCGTATCGGTAATGACGTCCACCTGCTGCCCGGCCACTTCCTTGACGAATCGCAGGAATCCGCTGATCATCTCCAACACCACACAGCCGACACTCCAGATGTCCGCCTTGCGGCCGGGGTCATCTCCCACAATCATCTCCGGCGCCATGAAGGCATACCTGCCAGTGTCTTGCCGCACAGCCATCTCTCTCCGGGGGCGATGTGGGGCGTCCAGATGACCAATCTTCATTTGGCAGGTATTCCAGTCCTGATTGCTTAGCAGAACGCGGCTGCCCTTTATGTGGCCGTGTAGGATATTTTGGGCGTGCAGATAAACTAAGCCGTCCACAATCTGGCGTGTCCATTCCTGGATCAGTGGCGCGGGAATGCGGAATTGAGCCGCCGCGTGCAGATTCCCGCCTACGCAACCCATAATTTTTTTCATAAACTGGATAATCTTAAGAGTTAAATACCATTAATTGCAATTTTGATTTTGTTGTTAAAAAGTTTCAAAAATATTAATACATTTTATTATAAATTAAACAGAGCGCAAAAACAATCATCTAGTTTCGGAGTCTTAATTATGGATCTCCTAACGTCGGCCTGAGCGCCGGCCTTATTTCGTGATTACACGGGTTATCGCAATAAATGCAAAGTGGCTGCGGAAGCATGCATTACCGACTAAAACCGATCCTGAAACTTTGTTAACACGCAACAAACAGGTAGTGCTGGTTTACCGGAACAATATTCCATAATGATTATGTAATGCGACTCTTCCAACTGGTTGGCCTGTAGAGGATTATAATGTGCCAAATGACGCACCAGATGTGGATGATCAAAACTAAGAATATACTTCAAATCGGCGTCCAACGAAGCGGCCTGCGCGTAGGCGTTTTCCCTGTCGAAATCCAGTTCGACTTTCTTCACCACGATCTCAACGGGTTGAACATCATCCGTGCGGTGGGCCAGGTGGATTTCGGTAGCTCGCTTATCATTAAGCAGTTCAACCAACTGATACGGGATTTCCGGGCGTGTTGCACACGTTTCGCTTGACATGATAATGTCGTTCATACTTTATTCAAAATTTAAAGTGCGTGATATAAATCAAGCTCAATTACTCTGTACAAGCTGATTTACTTCCACAAACATTAAACAAAAGCACAGGAGTGTGTTAAGCTCATAGGCAGCTAGAAAAACGGAAAGCGCGAGCGTGAATAGATTGGTTACGTAAGAAATAAATCTGATGACTGGATGACAGGCACATACTGTTTCTGATTGTGAGTCACTAATGACGAATTTCATACCGGTAGCCGGCAGAGATGGTATATTATCATGATTGGGTCATTCTTACATCATTATTACAGTTCATTTCCTACACACGCACTACAGTACGGTTGCATGATGAACGTTGATTGTAGGATGAAGTAAGTATGAAGCAAAAATCAGGACATGAACTGTTTAACATTACACTTATCATGATGGCTTAAGACGGTAGGGAACGGCAATTCATTGGAGTCATCGGAATCAGAGAAAACCGTGGGATTATCAGCCTTAATAATCCGGATGGTTCAGATGACCAAGCATGCCTGACGCTGCTTCATCACTTTTCGAAGCTGCCAGATAATTCCATAACATTCTAGTGATGCGGTTGGATAGAAGCTAGTTTTCTGGACTCCCAAGAAACAGTAAGACCGGTAAAGCACATTAAGCATGATGGCATCCGGTTTGTTTGTTTGCTTTTGCCGCCATATTGTATGTATCAGCATTTTTATTTGAAAATACTTTTTGGGTTGTGTTGTCGTGAGATTCGTTTACGTCTGTGCAAAAAGGGGACTGTGCGCGCAACATTCGGTTGGGAAAACCATTTCAGAAGGTTCATCCGTAAACCGCTGTCCCAATCACAAGTCACACGCACTATGGATTTAGTTTAAGGTTTGACCATAAGCGCACAAAATTATTGAAAGCGCTTTTACGCCAAATAGGATTCTAATTTTGCAGTATTTGCAACAACTTCGAAATTGATCTTTAAATATCGAAAACCTCATGCAAGTCTGGTTCGCTGAAAAAATTGTCTTCGTAGCATGATACGTGTTTCCGAGTTATATATGAATTTGCCGCATTTCTTCGATAACTTGGTATATCATATATATCAACTATCAACTTCGACAACTATATATCAAGTATAACTTAAAACTTCAACGAAACTGATTACGATTTTAACCTAAGTACTGCACAAGTGCACAATGGCCACGCACAGTACTGCCCCACACCGCCCAGCAGATAACAACCATACCGCTCGAGCTCAACTGCTTGTGTCGCAGAAGTAGTATCATTATTAATTTTATTTTCCTTTCACCGTCATGTGCAAGCAAACGGGCCAAATAATAAGCTACCAAAACGAGGTAGCTGCTTTTCGTGGATTAACAAACAGCACACAGCTCCTCATATAAGTGATGTTTTGAGGCAACCGTTATGTATCGCATACACGGTACAGTGTAACAAATTGATTATAATATAATGAAAACTGGCAAACCATTCAGGAAATTAACATCGTCATGAAAGGCAGCAAATAGGTAGATAATAAATCTATTTACGTTCGCTCAGAAGAAAAATTAGCACTTGCATAAAAACCTATCCAAGCAAGGCGCAATCCGAGGGAAACCGAGAAACGGCTGAAAAAGGCGCCGATGGGGGAATCGAACCCCGGCTACGTCGTTAGATCCGCGTAGGCAGTACCACTGCACCACGGCGCAATACGTTGAAATCATTTGCAAGATTTTGTCGCTGTACGTAAGCCCCTTCTCTCCTCACATAGCGAATCATGTAGTAGAGCATCAGAATATCGTTGTCGTTGCGCCCGTAGTTGTCGTTGTCAACCCACAGCGTCAAAACCGGGCGCTGCGTTCCCAGGTGCAGGCGTTTGTTCACTGTTGCCTGGTCCAGGAAACGGGCCCATTTCTCCAGGATTTCGCGTCGTCGCCAATCAGAATATAACGACGCAGGATTAGCGTGTCCATCATCTGGTTCCACGCGGCGCGTACCGCGCGCAATTCCATTTGTTAGACAGTGCCCAAGTGCGAAAACACTTCCAGCCACAATTCCACGGGCAGCGGCATCTTTTCGGTAGTTGTCGGTGTCTTGTCTAACAAGTTTTATATCCTGGCCAGGTCATCCTGGAGATACCTCTGAAAATTGAATAATACGCGACGTAACCCAGTCCAACCACAAATCGGATGTCTCTGTTCTTACCAAAATCCGTTCGTACACGGGATTACATGCATCCCAACCGAAATAACAATGCAGGTATTCTAAACAACCATCCACGAGGTCTGTCACGGCAACCTGCCAGCCATAGAAATTGTAGCTATTTAGTTGCTTGACGAGTCCCTGCGCTTGTTCGATAGGCAACGAGCAGAATTTACCGTCCAGCTGCACCGTGCGCTTGACGACCTCCCCGGGTCGCACGAGATAATAATTCAGTGCAGCGTCATTATCAGCCAAACTGTGCCAGGTTTTCGTCGCCGCCTGAAGGAACTCCATCCGACGCTGTGTCAGGGCTTCATCAACCGGACAACGGATGCGTCGGAAGCGGAGAAAATCTTCGCAAGTCACTCCGCTGTCCTTCTCGTGCCAGTGCAGTACGGCGCCTCCGCAATCCCAGTGCGCCGTGCCGCGGCCAAAGCTGACCGTTTCTTCGGCAAGCCAAATCCATGGACCTAACTGGTTCTCCCGCACCAGCACTTCCACAGCAATGTGGGAACTCTTTTCAGAATAAATACAAATTTCGCCTTTTGTCATCGATTTGTGCCAAAAAATGCTACCAGAGGTAAAACATTCCCGTCGTCGATTGGGACAGAGCAGATCGATGTAGAGACCGTTTTCCGTCACGTTCACCACACGGCCATATCGCATCGTTCCGTTGCCACCAAAAACGTCCACGCTGATACAGTTGAACATGGCGGAAGAGCAAGACATTCGAGCGGAACGCAACAGCAAGTTACGGTCCAATTAAAACCAGAAATGCCGAAACGCAAACTAAAACAAAACACGAAATTCGATGTGCTAGTAAGATGGCATATCTGTTTAATTAATACTTGTGTATTCTAGTATGGAAAGAAGCGAATCAGCACTCACGAGCAGTGGCGTAGCGTTGCTCGTATTGCAAGCTTCCCGTCCCGTCACCCGGTGAGGCTTCGACCCTAACGGTCTGAGGATCGGCTCAACCGGCTAAACTGTTACCAGGAAAGAGAGGGAACCCACCAATGCCGTGACTGCAATGTCAGTAAAAGTACTCACGTACACAGGGTTATTCAGCAAGTGCATGCGTACGTTCAGCTAAGTACGGGACAGCGACCTCTTCGTTCATCTGCTGTGGCACTGTGTGATGGTCTGCCGTGAGATGCCATCCTCCTGGCCAACTGCCATGTTTGTTTGGCACATCAGCTTCCACCAGGTTGAGATGTTTCTGCAACCTCCGCTGGAATAAACGCTGCTCTGTAACGACTGCCGATTGGTCGTAAATTCCGCTTTGCTTGGTGAGATGGCTTGGAGGTGGCACGTATTGCCTGATCTGAAGTAGGAACATCTCCTTTGCAGTTGGGATACCTGGGTGGAAGTCTCATAATCAATGACGCTGTCCCCAAGGCAGAAAATAACGGTGACGGATTATTGGTTCACTTGCAGCCTTCCGGCTTTAAAAGTCTACAGTTTTAATTATTTTGAAAGTTGCTCTCTGCGGCACTGTCGAGTGATCCACTTCCGTCGACGCACTATTTCGGTTCTTCCACGGTTTACAGCTAGAAAAACTTTCGCGTAGTATCCACCTTTATATAGCTGAGCTTTTACTGAAATTACTGTACGCGGATCGAGAGCGTACTAAATACTACTAATTCTAATAATTAAGTTATGCTGTTTTACAGTAAACGTTCGTTTTGTACGCTGAGCCGAAACTGAACCAGTCCCTTTTGGTGCTTTAATTTAACTTTCTTTAGAAGGGACGATATACATTGCAGAAATGGGAGTTATCTAGAGTCTAGGGAAACGTGAAAATAATCCGCAAATGCAGGAGGTTCACGGCGGCGAATTGTTTACACTGCCAACGGTATCTCGCAGCCGTTTCATGTTTAGCAAACGCGGAAAAACCTTGGGATTTTCAGGAACCTTGCAAACGTCCACCATGAATATTGTCACAAGGGCAATTCGATACCCCCGTGATTTTCTAGGTTTTCCCTACTGCGGAAAAGAACGGGACACGACAAATTCACTTTTGTTACGTCTCCCAGCAGATTTACTGCTCCGCATCAGAAGAAAAGCTAAAAAATATAGAAAATGGCAGAAAAGCAAAAAACAAGAACCCCCTCTAAGTCGTCGTGCACGCATCATCCCCCCGACTTCTAACGTAACAGCCATCCGATACACAACATGAGACATCCTCCCTCGGTGGGAAAAGGGCTGCCCTCAGCCCGTAAAAATTAAAAGAAAGCAAACAAGAAAAAGTATCACTCCCAAATGGCTAAAATACAGTAATACTTGTAAAAGAAAGAGACAAAATGGAATAAAGTACCCAGAGATTGTGCTTACTAAAACAGGCTATTCAGAACAGTCCAATGGAAGGTCATACGGATCCGTCGGCTCCGCAGTTCCTTCGCCATCTTCGGCCGCTGCGACACTGTTCACCTTCTCGCGTTCAGTGACGATGTCCATGTTCTCCAGTGTGTTGGTGGCCACTTCACAAGGCTCAAGACAGAGCGGATCGGTGGCCGCTTTCGGTACCAGCTCGCTCGCTTCGGACGTTGCGTTCTCCAGCGTCAGTTTGGCTCGGACAAACGCGCCATTGATATCGTTTTCCGCTGCTCCTTCAGAGACGACATCCATGCCGTCGAACGCGTCAGCAGCTTTTTCGCTAAGCTTGCTCTGGTGTGTGTCCGTTCCATCCTCTTTTTCCCCTGAGTTTTCGGCTTCAGCAGCCAATGGCATGTTATCGGCACTGCTGTCTCCCTCTTCAGTAACGTCTTGAAATGGTGCCGGTGGTTGCGTAGATTTCTCGCCGGGAATCCAGTGAGACGGGGTTACGATGTCGGGACGTCGACGTGCGACATCGGCTGCCG